AGCACACCAGCAGCCTAGCCGTCGTCAAGCGTTTTGTAGGCACCATAGCAAAGGAAGGTTATGAGGAGGGATTTGCAGGTGGATAATGAGGTAAGTTTGCCGATTTTCATGTAGAAATGCCTGCCAAGCATGTGGGGCAGCACAGAAGAAAGCGCAAAGGTGCTCGTTTGAACATTTATGACCTTTCATTAAAGGTATAGCAAAAGAAGGAAAAGCAGTGAAAGCATCTGAAATGTAAAATATTAAGTGAGGCTTTGTTCTTAATGGTATCCCTTTTCCCTTCCCTTCAGCTGTATGGGGTTTTTAAGGAACAAACCCCTGTTTTACAGTCTTTTAGATGGTATTAAAGATGGTATGAACTTTGTTTGGAGGGGAGGAGGGAAGAAGTTAGTTGAGATGGTCTGGAGCTGTTGTTATTGTTGGAGTCCTATTCTGTTTTCTTTCAGGGCATGTCTACACTAGTGAGCTTACAGCGCCACAGCTGTACTGATGCAACTGTGCTGCGAGATCGCTTGTGTAGCCGCTCTATGCCGGCGGGCGAGAGCTCTTCTATTGACGTAATAAAACCACCTCCAACAAGAGGCAGTAGCTATGTCGGCAGGAGAAGCTCTCCCGCTGACATAGCGCAGTGCTCACCACCACTTATGCTGGTGAAACTTTTGTTGCTCGGAGGTGTTTTTTTAACATCCCTGAGCCACATAAGTTTTGCTGACATAAGTGGTAGTATAGACATGGCCTCAGACAAAACAAGACAAACACCAGGGAAGCAAAGCAAAGTCAGGTAATGCAGTTTCTGCCATTGGTGCTGATTTCCAATTGCAAGCTTGCTGCTGGAGAAACACAGGCCCAGCACACAGTCTGGTTAGCCACTCTGGCAAATTTATACCAGTGTGTAACTGCCTCTCTGGTCACAGGCTCATTGCAGTGTCGCACCAGATGGAATTCTCTTGGCTGGCTGAGCCAGACGCTTTAGTGTGAAGAAAAAAGGAGAGAGAGAGGCAAGAGGAGAAATAAGCTGGGGCAGGAAAAGAACAGATGAGGCAAGGGAATCAGGATTCTGAAGGCCCAGTGGTGTCATGGTGGATCACTGGGTTCCAGGAGACAGTGGGGGGCGGAGAGGAGGGTGGCAGCCATGATGGTAAAGCTCATTCCATCCAGTCCATGTATCCCCCTTCCTCCCACTGAGTGACCCCTCCAGGTAAGCAATGTCCAAGAAGGTTTGACAGCCTCATCTCAATAGCATTAACCAATCAGAACACAGTGTGGTGATTTTTAATTAATAACATTTTCTTCTAGAACTTTTCAGTGCATTGTCAGGCTGCCCTGTAACTTCCCCAGCAGCTTGGCAGATCCCATAGCACGGCTCTTTTACTTAAACAATCCAGTTTGTACCAGTCTATTTGTCTCCATTTGTTACCTTGGACAACTTGTATGTTGTTCTTCCAGGACGTGCAGAAAACATTAGCAGCTTGGGTTAGGCTCCTCGCCTGGGGTGATAATTCTGGTTACTTCACTAGAGTCACCATGAGGATGACTTCTGCACAGGCCAAGCATAACATCGGCCATCTCTGATCAGACCATTGTTTTGCAGCAACCATTATCTGAAGCTCTAGAGGGCAAATTCCACTCCCCTCAATGTTCCTGGGGCTTGATCCCATCAAAGTCAATGGGACGTCTCATATGCTTAAAGTAAAGCATGAGTTAAGTGCTTTGCTGAATGGGCCTGTAAGCTGAAGTGAGCCAACCAGTCCAGGAACAAAATCTCTTTTACCAGGTGACCTTTCCTCCCTGATACTTTATTGTCGAGGTGTGATGTGTTCAACAGCATGATATGCAGCGCCAAGCACAGCATGGCTTCTGGGCTACTGCATTGCTAATAATAATAATACCTACATGTACTGTATGTGTTTCTCGTATTGTCTCAGTGACAGTGGTTGTTTTTATCCCACGTAACAGGAATTGGAGGCATATTTCCCCACAAAGTGCTACCATTTCAAGGTAGATAAGAACTTTATCCTTTGTTAAGAGAGATTGTTTGGAACAACAGAGAGCTGCACAGTTGAAAGCCTGTTAAACAATGGAGGGTAAGGAGTGATGATCAGTGAGCCAGATAAGATTGGTTGATTAGATCAGTGTCAAATCCATTAATGTCAGTAGGTAGTATTTTTTTACTCTTCCATTTGCCTTAATGACTCCTGACAGCGGAATGTGGTTTGGCAAGGAATCCAGTCACTATTTACTTGTGGAGAGGAGTGTATAATGGCAGAAACATAACAGTCACGAAAGCAGACCATTCAATTTGACTAAAAATCCTAGGGATTATGGCTAGCCACTAATAATCTAAAACATTGACATACCAGGTTGTAGCTGCTTTTAATTTATTTTTCAGTTGTGAGCTTGTTGTTTAAAAATCAGAGCTTTTTTATATTTTTAAAAATATATCAAGTTTCAATTTTTCAATTGTTGTGAGTGTCTGGATTGCAACAGCCTTCAGACAACAGGTAATTGACAAAGGGCACAATTCAAAGCCCACTGAAAGCAATGGGACGTTTACGTCGGCTTTACTGCCTTTTGGATCAAGCCCTACCTCTCTAAAGCAAGGTCTTTGTTTTGATTCACAGAGATATATTCACAGCTTTTTGCCTAATGAGTTACTAATGACACAGGGCCATATCCTAGTCCCATTAAAGTCTCTAACAAACTGCCATTGAATCCAGCGGAACCAGGCTTTTGCTCATAGAGAATTGCTAGAGAATCTAAAAATGAATGAAATCAGCAATGTATTTCCCCCCCCCCGACTTTGAGATCTAATATGAGGTTGGAGCTTGGTGCATTCTCCCCCACCCCCCAATTTGAGATCCTTATCAGAGGATAAGGAAACCTGTGAGCAGGACAAAGCCGTGCAACATTTTATTATCTTTTGTTAATTAAAAAGCATCTTAGTATTCTCCACTTGCTTGTTTCTCTCATATAGAATACTCTTTGGGCTCTTCCTTTTCCCTCCATCGTTCGGCAGGTTCTTGGCTATGGTAAGAAGTGGAACCTTGATAATAATATGCTTAGCACTTCTGAGGCATTTTTCATCCATAGCTCTCAAAGTGCTTTACAAACACTGATAAATATCATCATCTCAGTTTTACAGATGAGAGAAACTTAAGCTCAAAGAGACTAATAGCAAAGTGTAAAATGTTACAAAGCAAGTCATTTGCTGAGTCAGGAATGGAATTCAAGTCTGTACCCTGTCGGTACTGCTTTACAGCTTAATACACCTCTACCCCGATATAACACGAATTCGGATATAATGCGGTAAAGCAGCACTCCAGGGGGGCGGGGCTGCGTGCTCCTGCGGATTTAAGCAAGTTCGATATAACGTAGTTTCACCTATAAGGCGGTAAGATTTTTTGGCTCCCGAGGACAGTGTTATATCGGGGTAGAGGTGTAATGCCTGGTAACGCTCTGTCTGGACCCATTTCTGCCCTTGGCTGACCACATGCTGCTCCCACTGAAGTCAATGGATCAAATTCTGCTCTTGTTTACACTGTGTACATTTGGAGTAAGTCAGTAGAGTTGCTCTGGATTTACACCAGTATAACAAAGTAGAATTTGGCCAAGCCAGGGCAGAGTGTGATCCTTGCCTATATAAGGAGACTTTGGTCGAGCTGTGTATTTTTCCGTGCTTGTCTTTGCCAATGGATCTGTGCAGTTTCCCAAGTGCAGGGCAGGGCAGAGGGGAGGATGGATTCAACCTCACCAGCTATACATATTGGATGCTCAGAATTACTGTTTTTTTTCATACCAAGCTGCTTTATCTCAGGGAAGAAATCGTAACCGTGCAGACAGATAACAACAGAGCCTTTGTGCGCTGTCAACGGGGAGTGCTGCTCTGTCGGTAGTGGGTGGAAATGCCTGCAGACCAGCAGGGCATGCAGATGCCTGCAGCCGGAAGCACTTCTGATACTTGGACGTTCCCCTGCTTCTTGGGCCATTTTCCCCCCTCCTCCCCCCCAGGCTTGGACTCTATTACTAAACTCTCGACTCTCCCTGAGACGCTCGAGACCTGCAATATGGGATCCTCTTACTTTGCTGGCGCCTTGCAATCTGAAAGTATCTCTCCTGTATGTTTAGACATTGGGGCCCCATCCTGCTGCCTTTGTTCACATCAGTCCCTTTGACTGTGAGTAAAGGCAGCAGGATCATGCTCGGGTTTTGGAACCAAGGGTTCACAGAAGAGAATGGAAGATATTTTGTGAAATTTAAAATGTGTTTTTAGAAGAGATGCCAGTGCCAAGTGTGGGCTGCAGCATCCCCACTGATACCTCCCACCACCACTCCCTAATGTATTTTACCTCCATTCTAACCAAGGGCTTTTTATTTAGCATAGTCCATTGGAAATGTAATTGTTTGAGACTTCAGCTCTGCTCTTTTATCCTGATCCAAAGCTAATGGAGTAACTCCCATTCGACTTTGGTGGGCATTGAATCCAGTTCCCACACTGAAGTGGGAGCACTGAGCAAGCAGTTCACTCTGTGTTTTGGGGAGCAGAGAGCTCTTTGCCTCACCGCCTCTGATCTGTTTGGGGGTGGCATAGACCGGTTTTGGTAGGAGTCACCGCTGTCCATTGCTGTAGGGCTGGTCTCTACAGTGTGTGGGGTGCTGAGGGGTGTGAAAGTGAGCAAGATCACTCCTCTGGGCTCTGAGATGGGCTCCCCCCAGCAGAGAACAACAGGCTGGCAACTTAAAATACCATGAAATCTCTTTTTATGGGATGTGGAGAAATCGGTTGCCTAGAAGTTGGTCATTAGCTAAAGATCAAACAAAATTATACTAGAAACTGCACTGATGGTTTTTAAGTGGTTGCTTAAGAGAGGGGACCTGTTGGGGCTGGGGTCCATAGCGTGGGTTTCACTATAGCCAAATAACCTCCCTTTTCTCCACTTGAAAAGCCGAGAAGCAGCCTGGTAAATTACCTGATTCTGTTTCCATTTTTTCTTTATTCCCAGGCATTCAAATGTACATCTGCAACAGAGAACGCTATGGCTTCCTCCCAGTGCCACTGAAATTGCACCAGACACTACAGGAAGACGTGGAGAACTTCATTCACGTGACAATCGAGGCAATGAGTAAGTCAGAGCCTGCCCCATCTCTGCAGAACCATCCCTGGGATGCCAAATACTTTCTTGTTGAATGGTGGCCGTTTGCCACCTGTCTCAGTGTTGCTTCTGTGCTTGACCTGCAGAGCGACAAGGTGGGGGAGTTAATATCTTTTACTGGACCAACTTCTGCTGGTGTGAGAGACAAGCTTTTGAGCTAATCAGAGCTCTTCCTCAGGTCTGGGAAATGTACTCTGAGCATCACAGCTAAAGACAAGATCAAACAGATAGTTTAGCATCAGTAGTTAGCATGTATTCTAAGGGACCATTCAAGGTGAAGTGAAATGGATCAGGTAAAACGTTCACTGGGATTCTGTAAAAGTGTTGTTGGAAGTGTGGGGGAGAGTTTGCTCACTAGATGCCCAGCTGTGTTCTCAGGGGAGTTGAAGGGAGCAGCATCCTATGCTAAGAAGCTCCTTAAAGATTGGATTAAAAATCATGGCTGAGATGTTCGAAGCCACCTAAAGGGATCTGGGCATTAAAAATTAATAGGAGCTGGGCTTCCAAATCCCTCCTTTATCATCCCCATGTGATGGCTGTGTTCCTAGTGGTATCGCAGTCGGTTAATAGGAGTGTGGCTCCCTCCCAGCTCCTGCTGGATCCCCCCAGTTTGCACCAGTCACAGGGAGAATCTTGGTGCTGGAACTAGAAGTGAGCATTGCCAGGGCTTATGCAAAATCTCCTTCTCTTTTATCCATCGGAGTATTTAACACAATATTACACAATAACAAATAAAAGAAGCCAACCTGCCAGCGAAATACCAGACAGATGATTAGATTAGATACAATAGTCAGTCTCCTCCCAGCCAGAGGAGCAACGATCCGGATTGGCTGCTGAGCAGCTCAGGCAGGACTCAAATCAATGGCATGAAGGTGCTTGCTGGAGCTGTGCTGCCCCGGAGGTCAGTGCATAGGTTTGGTGGGGCAACCATTTGTGCAAGGTCATGGATCTAGTGGCATGGTACTTCCATGTGGATCCCATAAGTCTATGGTGTTTAGGACACCTTGCTCCCTGCCCACTTCACATCATCTTACCCCCGCCTCCTGTTGGAGGGCACAATTTCCTTAAAACTCCATGGGGTTGTCTTCAGGGAGTTCTCAACCCCTCTGTCCCAGTCCTGAAGGTTGGTCAGCAATGGGGAGGGGCAATGTGGCCCCAAAATCATTATTAGAGCTGCGGGTTTTACTGATTTTTTGACCTATAATTCCCTCACCACCTCCTCCCGCTGATAAGTCCCCACAGCAACAGGAAAGCTCCACCAGCAGCAACCCCCCCACCAGACCGTTATTTAAATTTCGCCAGAGCTGAAACGTGGGCTCCTCTCTCATCCCAGCTGGAAAGACGTGCTCCAGCATGTGCATTGATACACTGTTCTCTTGGGTGTTTGCAGTCCCGTGGCGTCTGGCTTTCTGCCTTGCGGGGCGCTCCTCTGGCACATGATGCTGATTAGGCTGTAGCATCGCACTCCACATCTAGGTGCCTCTCTGTTCCAGGGGAAACAGTGTAAAGTGATGACAGTGAATTTGACTGGGTTTCTTTGCCACTACGCAGTTCAGTAACCAGCCACTGTGGATGTTTCTATTCTCTCTTTCAGTTGATCATCCTCCATTCGAGCCCTCGCAATACATCTCCATTCCCCCAAAACACCCAGACAAGATGGGATTTGATGAGGTAGGTGTGATGGCTTGTTACCTCCAGGGTGCATTCTGGGAGCTGTTGGAACCACTGTGCCCCCTAACAATTCAGCTGAGTTGGCCTCTCTCACACTGCTCTGCTGATGACTCAGCCAGCCTCTCCAGGCCCGGTTAACACCCAACATGACAGCAGGTGGCGCCACACACCCAACTGAGTTACCTGAGTGCTTTACCTAAGCCACTCATGGACAAACAGGAGGTCCCCAGCCAACTTCCCAGATCCCCAGCCTTGCACCCCTACTGGAGTATAAACCCAGAATTATTTCGTCTTGCACAGCACAGGGGTCTGTATGAGGCAAGCTTATTAATTAATTCGCTCCCGCCTGGATGTGGGGAAGATATGCAGCAGCCTTTGTTTACAGAGCTAGGATTCCCAAACACTTCACTCAAAAAACTCACTGGTTAAGATAAAACATAAAACAAGTTTATTAACAACAGAAAGATAGATTTTAAGTGATTATAAGTGATAGCAAACAGATCAAAGCAGATTACCCGGCAAATAAATAAAAACGCAAACTGAGACTAATATACTAGATAGATAGGATTTGAATTAGCAGTATCTCACCCTGACTGATGATACAAGCAGGCTTACAGATTCTTGAGGCACAAGCTGCATCTGCTTTGCAGCGTGGGTCCCCTTTCCCCATTCCAGAGGTTCTTTCAGGTGTTGAGTTGTGGGGGAGTGAAGACAAATCATGATGTCACTCCCCACCTTATATAGTTTCTCCATATGGCGGGAACCCTTTGTTCTAAGCTAAGTTCCCAGCCCAGTTTGTGGGAAAATACAAGTACCAAAATGGAGTTCAGTGTCATGTGATCTGGTCACATGCCCTTGAGTCATAGCAACCATTACTCATAGGCTGGCTGAAACGCCCCCAGATGAGGACAAACCTTTTCCATGGTCCATTGTCTTTGCTGATTAGCACTGTCTAGCTTCTTCATTGTTTTACCTGAAAGGCTAGCTGTGGGTGTTTCCAACTTCACATCTTTTAGTAACACAGACATAGTAAAACTTCATAACTTCACATACAATGATAGCACATACAATCAAATGAGATATTAATGTTTGGCAGAGTAAGACTTTTAGAATAATACCTCACAAGCCATACTTTGTACAAAATATATCATAATTATATGACAGTGGTGAATATGGGGGTACCATAGTATAGTGCCTGTATGTACCTTTATTTTGTTGTGTGGACATGTGCATCATATAGGGAGCCTGGTCACTCCCACTACAGATAAGGTTGCAAATCAGTTTTCATTTCTATCCTGTCTTCACATGTTCATCATAACTTTCCAAAACATTGGTATGTTGGGTTGAAATTTTCCATGGGATGGATCCTGGTGTCTTTATTTGACTAAAACTCCCCCTGAGCCAATGGAGATCCTTTTGAGGTGTCCACATGCGAATTTTGATGCCTGATTTCATAAGAGCTGAGCAGCTGCACTTGACATCAGTGGGAGCTGTGGGTGCTCAGCATCTTTGGACATCAAGCCTTGAGGTGCCAGACCTCAGATGTCCCAAGTTTGAAAAGCTTGGCTGGATCCAACGTCCAGGGATACCAATGGGAGTCTTTCCAATGACTTAAATAGTCACTGAATCAGGCCAGCAGTGATTTGGCTTCACTTCCTGCAACCATTAGGCTCTACACTTTCTATAGGTTAGGGTTCCTAAGGATAGGTCTCCCCACTCTAGGGTTAAGGTTCCTATTGGTAGGCCACTTGGAATTAGGGATAGGGTTCCTATAGGTAGAGCTCCCAGCCCTGGGGTTAGGGTTCCTATGGGTAGGGCTCCCCATCCTATGATTAGGGTTCCTATGAGTAGGCCCCTTGGAGTTGGGGATAGGGTTCCTATGGGTAGTTCACTTGGAGTCAGGGTTAGGGTTTCTGTGGGTAGAGCTCCCCGCGCTAGTGTTCCTAGGAGGACACTTGGAGCTAGGTTTATGGTTCCTAGGAGTAGGGTACTTGTAGCTAGGGTTAAGGTTTCTATGGGTAGGATTCCCCGCTTTCTGGTTAGGGTTTCTGTGGGTAGGATACTTGGAAGAAATGTTAGGGTTGCTATGGGTGAGTGCTCCCTGCCCTAGGGTTAGGGTTCCTATTGGAAGGATTCTTGGAGCTAGGGTTAGGGTTCCTATGGATAGGGTACTTGGAGCTTGGGTTAGGGTTCATATGGGTAGGGCTCCCTGCCCTACAGTTAGGGTTCCTATGGATAGGGTACTTGGAGATAGCTTCATTATTCCTGAACAACTTTAGCACGTATGGGTTTTTTAAAATTTCTCCTGCTTTCCGTTAAGAAGCAGGGACACTGTTTTGATGACCTCGCAAAGCTGTTAGAGATGATGACTGAAGAGAGTCAGGTGTTTAAACTGTAAATACACAGCACTTTGCATAACTTGGGTTATGACGGGGTCTGTATGTATTCATTGAATATTCTATAATGTTGGTCCTAATCTTTTCCTGTTTGGGAGCCACATTTCCACTGCGGCCTTTTTGTTTTGATTTTACTCAAGACAGTTGGAAACATGTTTGAAGCAGAACCCAGGAAGTTTGGTGCATAAATCATCCATCCTTCTAGAAACTCCTGTCCCTGTAGTGTTAGAGCTGGCTAGCTGCAGTCAGAGGCAAAGTACCAACAGAAAGAGACCGGGGAGGAAGAATTCCAGAGAGAGACTGTGCTGTGAATAAACTGGGTTTACATTTTGTGTTGAGCCAAAAAACCTGCATAGGACCGTGTAGTGCCTGCATGTGTAGCTGCCAGAGACAGTAGTATAGTCACTGAAGAAGCTACTAAAATTGGAGGAGCCTTGTTTTTTGTCTTTAAGATGTTTTGTTTTCTTGGCTTGGTCTGGAGTTTCTATTTATATGGCTTGTGTCATGAAGTGCGGATTCTGTGTGACTGTGTTTGTTTGGTCATCTATGTTTGGAGTCCTGTGTGTGTGTTTCTGGGCTGTTTCTTGCGGCTGCACTTAAATTGCCTGATATTTTATTAGTATTACTGCCTTTGCACCGAGCTGGGACTCAGTCTGGTTTTTATTTGGCCAAGGTTTGTTCCTCAGGCTGCAGGGCTGAACTTATTCTTGCCTGCCTGAGGACAGAAAAACGACCCTGACATTCTGTGTTTTACCTAGGAATGTATGTGCCTGGCGGGGCCTGCAGTCTGCCCTTGACCAGGCAAAATATGTCTGCTTAGCTTGGGCTAACTGCTGCCCGCAAATCTGTTTTCCTGCCCAGGATGTGTCTCAGGAGTACACCTATGATTCTAATTGAATCAGCAGAAAATGTCCAGGATCTGCAGTAATTAAAGATATCCTGCATTGCAGAACCTGCTTCCACTTGTGTCCAGTTATTAGGGTGATGAGCACATTGGTAATCCCAAAGATAGACGCAGCACTCAGTAAAGATCTGTGCTCTTTATCACATGCCAACCCCATCCCCCTTTGAATACAAAAGGGATATATTGTATTGGCTAGAGATTGGCCCAAACAAAAGCCTGGATCCAAACATCCCAGTGTGTTGGGGAAGTTCAGATCCAGCTCCAAACTGCACAACTGGCCCCTGGCACCTGCTTTCTAATTCCATATACAACTGTGCATTAAAAGAGCATTATGGTTGCAAAGTGAAGCATTTAAAATTCAGGAAATGCCACAGTTAATGTTGCCCACACAACCTTGACTCTGCCCCCTGTGTATTTATATTACCCTCCAGTTTCTAATTACTCCGTCAAATACAGTTTTCTCATCCAGGTCCCTCCCCTCATGCAGTGTGGACATTGCCTGGGGAATGTGGCGCTGTTCATTTAGTTTTTTATTCTCACTGCCCAGTGTATGAAGCCCTGCTGCATTTACTGCACATCGTCCTACCTGGAATCTTCAGCTGTCCAGTTAGGGGTGGAGCTCTGCTCAGGCCTACTCTTAAAGCCTGACCTGGACCTGAATCCAAACTGAGCACAGCTGACCCGAAACCGACCTGAGAGTGTTGAGTCATTTTTAGAACTGACCTGACCCCCATTACCCCATGAACCTGGGTCAACTTTATGTCCCTGCCAGATTTCAGGTTTCTGCTCCAGATTTGGTGAGGTGCTAGAATTGGTCCAAAAAGGTCAAATTTTGTAGGTTTTTTTTTAAACAAGGCAAAAGTGCGTTCTTCCCGCCGCCCCCATGCACACACACACATACACGCTTCATTTTTGAAAATCACTGAACGTTCTTTCCTCAACCGTCCCATAAAAATCAGCAGCTGGACTGAGAACAAATATTCTGAATTGCAGCTCAAAAGATAAATGTCTGACAAATTTATAGTAACCCGAAAACGACGCTTTTGAATGGAAATGCTCCTGGAGCTTTAACAGGGTCCAAAACCTGCTGAGCTCTGGCACAAACTTGGATCTGGACTTTGCATTGAGCCAGAGTTTTCTGATGTCTTTCTTAACCCAGATTTTCATGATCAACCTGAAGCGTCGAAAAGACAGGCGGGATCGAATGCTGCGGACGCTCTATGAGCAGGAGATTGCAGTCAAGATAGTAGAAGCTGTGGATGGCAAGTGAGTCTTTGGAAAGATCTGGTTCTGCATAGCAGAACTGTTGATTAGAAGTGCTACCTTGATTAATTTCAGTCAATTCTCTTTGATGCCCTGTGATTATGAGTTATCATTTTTAATGTACTATTTGGTGCAGTTTTGCAAAAAAAAATAAAAAAAATTTCATGCTGTTATTTTATTCTTCTCTTACTCTGATCAGTCTCCGTTAGAGATCCGGTAAGATAATTTAGGCCCAGAAGTAAAGTTTTCTTCAAGACAAAGTTCTCTGAATAGAAACATTGTCATAAAATTAAATAGGGGTATGATAATGAAAACATTTTTGTGGCATTTAAATATTCCCCTGCAATATGTCCAATCCCAATGCTGCAGCATTGTGCTACATCAGTGGTTCCCAAACTTTAACAACCTGTGAACCCCTTTCACTAAAATGTCAAGTCTTGCAAATCCCCTCCTAAAAATGAATATTTCCAGGAATTTTCTCCTTTATCTGAGTATAAATTATAAAAGCGGTGATCTTGGAAATATAAAATTTGTTTTTATGATGCTTATTACACACTATTTATTATTTATCATTACAGTATTTTTATTACATTATGAAAATGGCAACACTCTTCCAAGATCTCACTTTCGTATCTTGTATCACTTTGAATAAGCCTGTTATAAGACAAGGCTCCTATGTTTCATCAAGGAGTATCAGATGTGAAACAGCAAGAAGGTATTTAAGAAGCCAACTCAAAGAGTTCTTCCTACACAAGCATTCAGGTCTTGAGCAGTCCAGGCAAACAACGCACGCTAAAACAAAGCTTAAACTTGTTCTTCTTAATAATTTTAAAAACAATACTAGCTGCCTATTTAATTTAAAAAAACAGCAAAAAATATCCACCTCCCTTTCCGTTGCTTATAAGGAGTCTTGAAGTTTTAATCTCCTCAGTGTGATAGATATGCTTGCTTTGATCTGCTTAACTCTTGGAAGTCCAGGGGCTCCGGGCTTCTGGCCCCGTGCTGCCCAGGGTCCCTAGGGACAGCTCTGTCCGCCATTAGGGAATTTTTTCCGAGAACCCCCTCTAACATTTTGCGAACCGCCAGGGGTTCACGAACCCCAGTTTGGGAACCACTGTGCTACATTATAGTAATATAAACACAGATAAAGTTTTCTTTTTAGTTGAGACTCTAAAAGCAATGTACAAAATCTCCATTTTATACATGGGGAAACTGAGGCACCGAGGTTAAGGCTGGGGTTTACTAAGGGAGTCAGGTGCCCAAATCTCATTTGAAAGTCCAGGGCTGAGTAACTTTCCCAAGGCTTCTCAGGAAGTCAGTGGCACAGTTAGGAACAGATCTTGGGTTTCCTGGTGTGTCTCTGCCTTAGTGGCCTCTCTAGTGCTAGGGCATTAGAACTTGAAAGTGAAACTGACCATAAGCAAATATAATACTGACTACTCTAGTGCTGTTGTTCAAGGTGAGAGAAATGGAAAAGCAAACAAAACTCTTAGTGGAAGGTGAGCTAGGCGTTCTCTAGTCTTCCAGTGTGAATATAGCTATAGTGTTATTAACAATATGACAATGACCCTTCTAAGACTCTGCAGTTTCTTGAAACTGTTGGGGGTGAATGTCCTAAAAAATATCTTATGTTCAGCATGATTTAGATCAAATTAAACTGCTACAAATACACAGCCTATTTTGGGAACTTCCCTAGCTCAGGAAAGTCTTTTCACTGCTAAACAATTTCATTGTTTTTTTGTCTGAGTAAAAAATAGTAACATCTATAAAAGTTCTTAATACTGAAAGCAGCTCTCTCTTTCCTCAGGGCATTGAATACAAGTCAGCTGAAAGCGCTGAATATTGATATGCTACCTGGTTACCAGGATCCTTACTCTTCCAGGCCACTAACCAGGGGGGAAATTGGCTGCTTTCTTAGCCACTATTCTATCTGGAAAGAGGTAAATAATATCTGTGCTCTGGCAGTTGTATTATACTTGGATGCTGTGGGAAGGAAGTAATGTTTTATGTTTAGATAGTCTCTCTTATTTTGGTGTGAATTATCCAGGATCTCACAGAAGGTTCTGATTTTCAAAAACAGGAGCAGCAGTTAGGCTCCTAAGTTCAAATCTGGGCACATAAGCAGCCTGATTTTCAAAAGTGCTGAGTACTGAGCAGCTCCTATTGTGCGGTCAGTTTGCAAACAGCTCCCAGCCTGTGTGACTGTGTCACACGTCTGGGTTGTGGTCATGACATTTTTCACAAAACTCTTAGCCACCCTGTTTGGGGCAATGTTGTGCTTGGGGAGAAAAAAAAAATGAAGAAATTTTGTTGCAGGATTTCACCTCTGAGTTTTTTCTGATTCTAAACCTGTGTAGAATTGAATGTCACCAATTTTGATGACCATTAACCGTCATACTGATCAAAGAGCATGGGGGGCTCAGTCCTGCTCCCAGTGGGGAGCTCGGCATAGCTTCAGAGGGTGCAGAACTGGCCCCTCAATAGCATATGGGCCATTTCAGTCTCATTTGAAAACATCCCTTTTAGGTGGTGAACAGAGAGCTGGAGAAGACTCTCGTTATCGAAGACGACGTGCGCTTTGAGCATCAGTTTAAGAGGAAGCTCATGAAACTGATGGACGATATAGAGCAAGTCCAGCTAGACTGGGAGCTCATGTAAGTAGTCTTGTCCCAAGAGCTTTCACTGTCCTAAACCAGCTGGAAACTCTCTCCCCTGCTCCCACATGAACTGAGCATTTCAATAATATGGACGTACCCTCATAATAATCAGACAGGGCTGCCTGCGGGGAATGCAGCATGGAAGAATAAAATCCCAGAGACTCAATAATGGGGGTTAATTTTAAAGGGGCTGGAATAGCTAAAACCTCCATCGAATGAAGTACATTGCGGGTACTCTTTGATAAACAGGTGCCCACAGCGATATAGCCATGGCCTCCCAATAACCCCAGTCCCCCACTCTGAGCTAATTCCTGTGACACAGGGTGCATGTGCTCACTGTGAGGATGGGGGAGGAACAGGGTATTTGAACTCTTTTGTTTAGTCATTTAAATACAAACTCATTCTCACAAAGAGAAGCAAGAGGAGAATGGCACCGTCTAGCCAGCAAACAGCCTGAGCTGGAAATCTTTATGTCCTGTTCCTGAAAACAATTCCAAGTTCACTGCCAAGGGAGCAGAGTTCGAACTGGCCAGCTGGAGAAGGGGGAGAAGACCTTCTAGGGGGCTCCTCCCCATGGCAGTTTTTATAACCCCCCTGCTGTTTGGTGCTTTCTGGCACTCAGGTTATGTGGGTCCCTGGATCAGTGCCTGTGACAGTCCAAAAGCAAAACGTTTTCTCTTCAGATGTATTTTTATAAGGGATAAGCCGTCTCTGGTGGCGCTGATTTATCTGGGCTTCATCCAGAGAAGGGATAAGGCTGGGGAATCACACCAAGCCTCCTGTCTGTAGGATGATGGAGTTTTAACAAGAGGCTCCTGAGAAGCCTCCAGCACCTCACTGGATGCGCACCATAGAGAATTCAAATCCTTGCTTGGGTCAGGATGGCACATTGGTTTTGGGACCCGTAGTCTCCTTGGACTGCACGGGCAGATGTGGCACTGGAGAATTCCAGGAGTAGCATTTGATTTGTGGGTGCACTTTGGACCTGATCCATGGTCCAGTGAAGTCAATGGAAAAACTCCCACTGACTTAAAAGGCCTTTGATCAGCCCTGGTTGAAGTGGGAATGCCTGATGTCCCAGTTACAATATAATTGCACTGCAGAGCTGATCATGGAAACAGGCCTTAGTTTCCACTGCGGTGGGTTTTTCTCCCCTTCAGCTACATTGGTCGGAAAAGGATGCAGGTGCAGCGCCCTGAGAAGGCAGTTCCTAACGTAATGAACCTTGTGGAAGCAGATTACTCTTATTGGACCCTGGGGTATGCAATCTCCTTTGAAGGGGCTCAGAAACTAATTGGGGCCGAACCTTTTAGCAAGATGCTGCCTGTGGATGAATTCCTGCCGATCATGTACAACAAGCACCCTGTGTAAGTAAAACCCCTTCGTTGCTTGGGAAGCCAGCCGGCTTTGCGTGAGCTGTACCTTGCTAACTGATCTTAAACTGGACGTTGTGTAGCTAATTATACAGTGCATCTCCATAGCATAACCTAGTAGGCGGAGCAGAGGACTGGATATTATGATTCTTGGATATTGCCAGCACTGCTGCAGATGTTGGGCAAATCTCCGGAACTTTCTGTGCTTGAATTTATGTAATAATATCCTACCTCAGAGAGGTCTTTTGGGATTCATAAATTTGTATTTTTGAAGCAGCTGGTGATCTCTGATTGGAAGTAACTGTATAGGTGTATTATTATGATTCTATAGATAGTGCCTACTTTGGAATGCCTTACCTGGCATAGGACCTGGAAAAGATCTCTGGGCAACTCAGAGCTTTTCTTTTCAAAAACCCTGCTTTTAGGGCTTTTTCAGAATCTACATGGCACCTTCCTACTTCGCTGTGTTGCAGAATCCAGGGTTTTCATTTCAAAGGTGTGTGGGGCAGGGAGAAGTCACATCTTTTAACCAGCTCCCAGCCAGACTTATCAACATTGTCTCCCTCTTTGTGGGGAGAGCTCTGCAAGGCTCTCACTCAGAGCCCCGGAAAGTAATGTGGATATCAAGATACGGGAGGAATCTGTTTTCAAGGGTGGATCTCCTTGTTTTGTAAGAAAACCAGGGTTTTTTTTAATTCTGACCTAAAGCTCCCCCTAACCTTGTTTCCAGAGTCCAGTTACCCATTATGACATCTCCCCAAAAGAATTTGGGGTGCCACATCATTGGTCCCTGCTTCCAACAGGTGTGCAGTGTCTCTCTGACAATTGTCTTCTAGTCCTGTATACAGGCTTAGTGGAACCTTTGATAACATATCTGAGACAGGCCTTTGTTCTGCTCCGACAGCCATTTCCCCTAATTGGCCACACCACTTACTCTGTGGTAGCAGGGTACACTCTTTGGCCTTATCTGCATCAGTAGCAGCTTCTCTGGTGGTAGGGACACTGGGAGCACTAATGCAGACAGGCTGCCATTGACTAACCATTGGGTTGCCCAGAACAGGTCTAGATGGGATTGGAAGTTGTGGTGCTTAAAACGCCAGCGGCTAGTTGATCACTTTGCTAGCAACGGGGGAGCTGTGCTGGTAGCAATGCCATAGAGGGAGATTTTAAGAGACAAAGTATAGACAAAGCCTTTGTTATCTCTTGCTCCCACTGGAGTCGATGGGAGTTTTACCATTGATTTCAGCGGGAGCAGAGTTAGGCCACCCCTGAACTTATCTAAAAATGGCACCCCAATGGTGCAAATAAGAAATGATACAGAGGCCCAGCAGTTGAATACCAAATGCCAACTCACATATCCAGGTATCTCTGCCATGCTGGGGCTACAGTCACAGTAGAATTTCCAGATGGATCCAATATGCTTCCTGTCCTGTTCTCTCATAGAGTGTTGCTATTCAAATAGCTGGAGGGTCCCGCTCCAGAGGTGGTTGCTCCCTAGTGGCAGATGAAGTGCATGGTTTCTGAAATACTTTGTCATTCTTTAGGATCCTTTATTTTATTGTATAAAAATCACTTTTCCAAAAGGACTAATAGTGTCCTCACTGCTCAGTTCATCTCAAGCCTTCAATCATTTGCCCAGGTTTCACCCTGTGATGAGCATCTAACCCTACCGACTAGTCCTAGCTCAGTAGATTGGCTCATAACCGATGGAAAGGCAAGGCAAGCACAGTGGTGCTGAGCAAGAGTTATTTCTGCTAGTGATATTTGTTTTCCTTTCTTTAGAGAGAAGTACAAGGAGTACTATGAGTCCAGAGACTTGAAAGCCTTCTCAGCAGAGCCCTTGCTTATTTATCCGACCCATTACACAGGGCAGCCGGGTTATCTCAGTGACACAGAGACATCCACAATCTGGGACAATGAGACCATGTCGACTGACTGGGACAGAGCCCATTCCTGGAAGTCCCGGCAACAGGGCCAGATCCACAGCGATGCCCAGAACAAAGATGCCTTGGCCCCCCAGCCATCTCTCGATGCATCGTCGTCGAGGGACGAGCTATGACTGCCCCCCTTGCTAAGTGACTCTGACAACAACAGTGGAACCTGCCTCACAATTTAGCTTTCACCTAGAAGCTTCTAGAGACGTCAATGTGCTCTCCTTCTCGCCGTCTTTAGCGGCAAAGCAAATTGATTGGATCCGACTGACTTAACCTAACCAATCTTTATTTTTTTGGGAAAGGGAGTGGGGGGAGGGGCTTGAACCAGAACATTCCAGATTGGCAGAAAAACAGAGACTTCTAAAAAGCGTATCGTAAACTCCAGTCCATTCTCACAAGGGTTCGTAACTTTGAAACCTCTGTGGAGTGGCGAGCTGGCTCCATGGCGCACTGAGTTGACACTAGTAATTACAAAATTTCCTTGAATGACGTCTTTCTACAGTTCCTGGTGTAGAATACTGTATTTATAAAGATTAATATATATAGGGGTTCTGAGGTGGACACGTGTAAGTCCTTTCCAGATAGTTGTCACTGTGCTGCTGCATAACATTAACTGTTGTTGATTTGTGTTTTTTAACCCCATTCTCTGAGAGAATGTGTGTGTGTGTGTGTGTGTGTGTGTGTGTGTGTGTGTGTGTGTGT